TAAAACTTATACCTTGTCGGTATGTTGATTTTATACAGAAGCTGGAAATTTGCTTGGTTAACTTAAACATGTCCTAAGAGTTCTAACTCTTTGTCTTCAAATAAATTATGAGAGATTATGTTCTCCCCTTTATGGAATAATTTATGCATGAAAGTTGAGTTTGTTAGGAGACAAAATATTAGGTATCCCTCACTGTTACTTCCTATACCGCCTCCCATCACGTCTTTAACAAATCGTGCTATGACTCCTTGCAGCGTAACCACCTGTTACAGTAATCCTTTTCTAAATTTGGAGTGTTTAAGCAGTTTTATGAAATTCAGAGATAAGATTTTCTTCATATTTTCTGTGTTCAGGGACACAAATATCGACTAATATTATATTGTTTCTTACAATTTGTACCCTTCTGTTAATATTAAATAATATGTTAATGTAATAATGGTTTTGGATTTTATGTGCAAAGCTACTCACAAGAGTGAGAGAGCCCACCGTTAAACGTAATGCAGTCACGCAGGACTTCTGAAATTCTTCAATTTCTTTTAGTTTCCGTACTTCTTGTAATATCCACACGAACAGTGTGAATATCGGCATCCAGTTCAGTCTCTCTGCAAATTAAAATTATAATATTCCAAATTCCTACCTTCAGCGTTGTATAAATTCCAAAGTGGTTCCCTGTGTTCTTCATTTCCTGGTTATATTCACTAGTCTGGAAATTGCCCTGAAATGCTTGAGTGAGAGATATTTCTCGCCGATCGCGCTGCCAACTTGTTGCAGAGTAAGACTGATGGTGCAGCTATTAGTCAAGCGCAACATTCGCGCTAAGTGGAAGTATGCCCCTTTCCTGGTGTCAGTTACTTTACTTTTGAAATCTTTGTCGTCTAGCCCCAGTTTTTGGCACGAAATATTTGTAACTTCTGGAGAGAGGATGTTCCTTATTTTATTAAATTTAACGAAGTGAAATAAGAAAACTTAGTTATAATGTCTATCTCTACGAAATGCCGCCACAAATTATTTCACTGTAACTGACAACCGGGATAGCTCAGTCCGTATAGCGACGGGCTATGGGCTGGACAACCTGGTTCGATTTCATTCAAGAAAAAAGTTTTTCTTTCCTCCACGTCATCCAGTTTGCCTCTGGGACCCACACAGCCTCCTATCCAGTGGATACAGTGGGTCCTTTTCCGGAGAGCAAAGCGGTAAGGACGTGAAGCTGACCACTGAATTCTATCTAGTGCTATGGTGGAACCATACCTCCGCTCCCCCATATATTTTTATGACGTAGTGCTTAATTAATTAATTAAGCACATGGAAAAATTTAAATTTATCCTCACTGTCAGTAAAGTGCGTGAAATACAGNCATTTCGTTACTTATCATTTGTTGCTTCATTTGTCAGCATATGCCAGTATTTTCACTTATTATTTTACACAAATTCCTTCTAAATTTATGCCATGTATTATGTGAAAAACGCAAAAATATTGTGTTCTGAGATACTTCGCTATCTGAACAGAGTCGATGGCAAGAGGACTGGAGGCAGAAGTATGGACAGCGTAGCGCGGGTTTGCCTGTGTCTCAGGTACAGCGGTTAGGACGCCAAATATTGGAGGCCCTTCTGTTCCTGAAAGATCGTGGCTTCCCTCCCTGCAGCCACCTCCACTCCGGTAACATCATACTGCAGAATGGAGTTGCCAGGTAATATACGTGGAGCTTGATTTTAACATTAGACTCCGTAAAAATAAACCCATTCTCCGGGAAGATATTAACACTATTACCAGATGTTTCACAATAAGTGACAGGATCGTTTATTAATCTGCGGTTGATTTAAGAGTTTCAGTACCTCAGCTTATACAGCGTCAATTGCTATGGTAGTACATGAATAGTAAGCTGAAAGGGATTTGGAAGGACACGATTGCACCCTGGATACAGATACCATGTTGGAATATGCCGTGAAGAATAAAACGAAAAAATTTCAGTGAGATTAGAAGATGTTCCTGCCCGGAGTCGAAACGAAATATCTCGCAAATATAGTTCAGAAGCGTTACCGCTTGAGCCAATTTGTTCTACAGGGTAGAATCTCTATGTTCATTGGTCTTCACTGCATTGTAACGTAGGTAGTGGCTTCGGATTCCATCTCGTGAGTTCTTCGGGCCTTTCTCCAGTAGCGAATTGTGCGTCACATGAAGCTTGCGCTTAACTCCATTTTAAGGCAAGGGCCTCGAAGATGTGGAGTTGTACATCCAAGCCCCTATGCTTTTTATAACACTGTGCGTATGCCAAAGGACAACTTTTGCTTTAATTGCATTGTTTGTTGCTTACTCTCATAATTTAGACCTTCCCCTGTAATTCTTCTTTCATAATTCGGTTTTTAGAAGGTAAAAGAGAAGGAGACAGGAAAGCTGAATCGCTATAGCGACGGGCTGAATGGCCGGGGTTCGATTTCTCTCTACTTCGCAGATTTCATGCCGGCTCTGGGGACCACCCAGCCTCCTATCCAATTGGTACCGGGGTTTCTTTTCCTTGAGGTAAAGGGCAGGGGAATGCAGCTGAACATTCTTCATCTGGTGTCGCTGTCAAGAATGGTGGAGCTGTNTATATTACCATTACCATTGTTTTATATAATCAGATAATAATGAATGTTACGAGAAATCTGTGTCATTCAGTCGCCAAAATGGAAAGCAACTCGAGTGAGTGTTATTCCGGTTTCAGGTGCCATAATTCAGGAAGTTAGAACTGGGGCGACTGTGTGATATTGTCAGTGAATTAAACGGGCCTAAAGATATTTCGGCCGGTCACGGTAGCCGAGCGGTCTAAGGCATGTACTGTCTTCGCTCGCTTGGAAACCAGGATCGTTGGTTCGAATCCCACTCAGGGCATGGATCTTTAGTTTTTGTGTGTGTGATTTTCTGTGTTTGTGTACAGGTAGAGGCCTTGCGACGAGCTGATCACCCGCCCAAGGCGTCCAACCGAATGTGTAAGATCTAGAAAAACCGAAGTGAGCAGAGAAGGTCATGGAGGTAGGCCTGGGCCCACTGGGGCTGTAGTGCCAAGAAAAAATAAACATATTTCTGTATATTTCCACCGTTACGCTTTTAGAGTTCCAGCCAGAAAACTGGAAGGGTGGTATCACTTGTAAGACTGGGTGCAGAACTAAGTGTACTGCAGCGAGTATTAAACTTGATCTCAAACAAACGTAGTTCGAGTGCTTGGGCTACATTCATACGACACGGAACAGGGTCCAATGGCTTTCCTGAAGACAGAAATGAACTTAAATATTCCATAAGAGTAAGGAAAATTGCTTGCCTAAATCTTCTCTAGAAGTAATATGCTTCATGAATCTAGTGTTTTGAACAGGAGACGTGAAGAGAAAATTTTCAGCTGAATGGTAGCCAAAGGTCCTCGAATTTAATCCGATCTTTACTTCAGTTTCATTTAGTTAAGCTTTATTTTATGAGGCTGAAAATTACCCGCTATATAAATGTTTATACAGTGGCAGCACTGTCAGGCTCCTTCATTTGCTTCAGGCTGACGGGGTTGGAGAACACGTTACTGGGACACACTTCTCGCATCCACCCAGTAATTTGGAGCCGAGCCAGAACCGAGCCTCCGGCAGTCGACTCTATCTGCTTCGGTAAAATTTCAAAATATTTTTACAACGTATTGTATATTAAACAAACCTGCCACAAAGAAAACCCCATAAATCGATGGAGACTGGCATTCTTTCTCTGAGAAAACATTCTGACGTCATTGGTACGGAAAGTCGTAATAACAAATACACGAAACTAATGCTTTTATGAAGCTTAGTTCTTCTCTGTGTATAATAAAACTCTCAGGTCTAAATTATATCTATAAATTTAATATTCAAATTCTGTATTTTGCGGCGTTTAATAGTTAATAAATTAGTGAAATTGAAAGACTAACAATATAACTTGAAGGGCAACAAATGTTCGTTAAAACCACTACATATTTCGATCTCCTGAGTTCCCATCAGATGATACGTTTCCAGAAACTGTATTACTGATCTGTCTCTATTCTTCTGCCTATCTGAAACTCGTATCCAGTTTCTTAAAAATTTACACTCTTTTCAGATGTTAATATTCTTGACACGTGTTATAAGTACTCTAAGAGAACTGGTATGGTATACGGAAATGTAATATTAATTTATGAAATAATTACTATATAAACGAACGTAAAAAGCAAAAGGTAAATAAGCAGATAATAATGTGTGTGAATTGTGATTATTCTAATTATTCTATTTTTGCATATTGATATACAAGCAACTATTTTACGCACTTCTCCGCATAATCACTAAATTACATACCCAGATAAGAGCTCTTTTAACCAAGGTTTCGGAGTGTTATACGTTCATTCTTGCCTTCTGTAGTAAACCTGGAACACATGAATATGTCGTCCATGAAGTACAGAAGAGAAATATATTCATAATTTATTCAAGTAAAGTAAAATTCTGACATCATCTCCTCAGGACATGTGCTGTTCGAGATGTGCGCTGGCTACGAGTTGTGTACCCCTCAGCCTAGCCAGGGACACCTCCTTGACATCAGGAACTACCCTCAGGTCAGTGTCTCTCAGTCTTTCTCATCAATACATATGCATGATCTTGTCTGAATTATTTTTTACAAAGCGGTTGCACCGATATTTCCGCGCGAAAATAAAACCGATCAAAGAAATATTTAATTCCTGCCTCTCTGGATGAACTATACATAAGCTCCCAAAAACGTTAGTATGTGTATATCTATGAGCAGCTAGAATTACGCACATTATCTATTCTAGTTAAGCCTCTAGTTAAATAACCTACTGTAGGGAACAATTAGGCGCAACTCCTCTCACATTAAACAAGAGTTGTAGTTGCTCAGTCAGCAAGGTTACTGACCATAAGATCTAAGGCCAAAAGCCAGATTTGTAGTCCGGGAAAGCCTCAGAGACCCATCCGACCTCCAATTTGATGGATATGTAAGGTTCTTTACTAGAGCACACGCTCTCTTCTTCCTACTGTGGTACTGGCGAAGTGTGGGCAGGGAATGCTACAGTGCAGTCATATCGGCATGCATTTAGCAAAAGGACGTGGCAGCCACTTGCGTTGGTAAGTAATTTTAACAGCTCTGCGGCTGAGGCAAATTCTATCAATATTGGTGGAACAAGGTTCGAATATGTTGAAGAGTGGTGATGGTGATGGTGAGTGGTAGGGAGGAGTAACCGACCCTGTTACATTTCCGTGTTATTTGGTGTAAGTTCTGCTTAGGCAAAGGGGTGACCTCCCGTTTCTTAGATGTAAACAGTGCTTACAAAATTACTTTCAGCATACGTGTTTCCCATTAGAGCATTTATTAAAAATTGTAGTCCAAAATGGTTCAAATGTGATCATGGGTAAGCACTCGTGTAATTACATTACATCTTAAAATTCTGCAACAAACATGGGAGCAAGCCGTGCCGTCTGACAGGGCCAGGAAGGCGGATGGCGGAGAAGAGAGCACGAACGGGTTTACTTTACTTATTCGGAATCTGCTCACTTATGAAGACGCAGCACGGACACGACTCACATAAAACACGTGTCACGTGACGCTATACACTACTGTGTTACTTCACAGCGTATGTGCCAGTTACGCGGGCAAAAGAAAAATTCACCTCGCCTCTACCTACTGTTGTGTGACGTCACCGCGGATACAAAGAATAAACTGCTGCTGAATTGTTGGTCATGTGTGTTGTGAGCGTTGTCTGGCAGTGGATTCATATGTCACATTATTACGTAGGATTTGATCTCCTTGATACATGATTTTTTCGCTGGTTTCCTGCTCAGCTTATTCTTCGAACTTGAAGACGGAAGCGATATGTTCATCCGAAACGTCGGTTGACTTTCGGCTGACTAAACGGCGGTATATCCTAGAAAATAGTACTATTGAGAAGCTAAGATAGTATTCTTCACAACCTACATTTTATTTATCAGGTACTTTTTGCGAGTTAATAATATGGGCAGAATAATATAAAAAAAATATTTGGAAAGAAAAGCACAAGACACAAAGCTTTTCGTAATATAATTAATTCAATTGCCACATTTCTTCCGTAAATGTATAATTTGACTCTTCTATGTTATAAGAGTCTCGTAGTTGTCCATAATTCCAAAATGTCGCAGTCACTTGTCGTACATTACGCTGAATTACCTCATAGTTTGGCACAGTCGCCATTACTCATTACTTCAAGGCGGCGTTTGTACATAAGTTTTAAGTTGATTTTCTCTAAAATGTGTATCTTTAAAGTAGGTCTTGTCCTTGGAAACCAGTTAACATAGTATATAATGTGATTACATTTGCAGGTGGTGGAGGTACTGGAGTTCATCTTCCAGCACCCAGAACGACGGTTTCCTTCAGTGGAAGAGTTGCTATTATGTGACTTCTTCCGTAACATCGATCTGAGAGAGATGAGAGCCACGCCACTTCCGGTAATAGCAATAATATGAACATATTTCAAGAAAGTTAAATTACTTTACTTCTTCCCTCAAAATGAACTGTTATACATTTATAGTGCTTGGATTTCTTTTAGAACAGTGAAGTATGAACACTCGAGAAATTTATTATTTGGTAATAATATTCTACTGCGATATTTTTATATCTTATTAGGAAACGTGAAATGTTTATCACAACGTTAGACTCAGATTTATCTCGATAAAAGCCCAAAGGATCATAATGCACGTTAAAATATTTGCTGTCGTCAAATAAGTGTCTCGTTCCGTTAAGTTTCATAGATATACTCATCAAAGAAAAGAGGTAAGTTCGAATTATATTGTAAGTATTCATCTGAAGTGCCACATTTAAATTTTTGTATTAATACACAGTTAATTTATGAAATATATTTACATTTTGTATAAATTCGTGTTGGGGTCACGTGGTAGCGTAGTTAGTTTAGGCACTATGCTACAAGCTGGAAGGTCGCGAGTTCAAGTCAAGATGAGGTCACTGGATTTTTTTCAATTTACCTAACCCTTCCAGCTGCACTATGGCCATGAGGTCGACTCAGCCTCTAACAGAAATGAGTACCAGGAATAGTCTTGGAATGTTCTTGGAGGTAAAGGGCGGCCGGCGCGTAAAGCTGACAACCTTGCTGCCATTTATGAGCCGATTGTCTAGAAAATGTGGGAACCTCAACGTCTCACAACCCTATTCATTCATTCATTCATTCATTTATTTATTTATTTGCATTCTCTTAATCCATACAAGGTCAAACCAACCTATGGGATATAGAACCTGTCAAGATACAAATATGATATAAACATAAAATAATGATCTATGAGTCTCCACTGCCTGTTATATAGATACCTTTACTTTTTTTACTTTATAAATTAATATTATGAATTACTTGTACTATTACAAACCAGATACAAAATTCCTATACATGTAAGAAACTGTAGCATTAAACTACATTTTTATTACTATTTTGACTTTTTAGATATTCGTCCATCGATGGGTTGGGTAACTCTTCTTTTGAAACAAATTTTATTCATTTCTGTGCTGCAGAAATACACATTCCAATTTTTTCAGTCATTCATCATGGTCATTCGAATTCCCAGTTTTGGTAATACCTGACATCAAGTGACTAGTGTGAGAAACTGCAGACATCTGTCGCAATCGATCATTGTTGGTGTAACAATCTATTAAATATCAATTTTTCTCGAAACAGTAATACTTTTGTGTAGACATGGTGAATGTACTGTACAATGTAAATACTGCTGAGGAGGAAGGCCTGGCATCCCCCCCTCCAACCAAATATTTGCTAAAAAGTAAAAAGGTAAAGTTGTTCCTCTGCTTAACTAAGCATTGGGCCTGGCAATGATAGGAGGGATACAAATACAGACTCGCAGGCTCGTGAGGAGGATTTATAAAGTATGCCACTGAAATGAACTCAGATGCAATGATATGCATCCCAAGCTTCATAAGATTGGTTCAGGCATTCAAAACTTTACAGAGGATACAGAGACATGCTCACACTCAGATAGGATAAAAATGGCTTAATCCTACTTTCATTTTCTCAAAAGAAGGAAAGTAGGCTAAAAAGTAAAAAACGGGAAATTAAATAAATAAAATTCAGAAATAAGAGCAATTCAAGTGCCTGAATTGTATGGACAGACTGGTAAAAAAGGATCAGCAAAACTCTATGTATGCAAATCGATGTAAGCAATGAAAGGTTGAACAAGGGTAATGCAGAAGGAGAGGAAGGGGAACATCTTTCATTTTGATGGATTAAATGTTGATAAAAGAAAGGAATGTTGAAATGAATATTGTTACAAAGGAACTGAAAAGAGAGTTATATTTTCTTCCTGACATTGCAAGACAGATGTTACTGCTAATTGTTGCAGAACCAGATATGTTTGCCACACAGCAAAATAAATTATGTGGCGCAACCAACTGATAAACACTGAGCTGATATTAGTATAGAAGAAATGAGGGGTTGGAATTTCCTTTGATTTTGATTATTCTAGTTGTAACCAATGTGGTCCCAAAACTTGAAAATTATTTCAGTTAAGATGGAGCAGTTTGGATTATTTTTCTAGCACAGGTTGAAATACCCAAGAGCTTTAAAGAGAACTGAAACAATTTGATGACCAATCCCACATGATGAGAGCCACAGACCACAATAAATCCATCACTTGAATTCACAAGTCACAGAAAGTCAAAATATACAAATGCTTGATTTATATCTACAGACTGCCATACACTATTGTAAGCAGTGAAAATAGTTTATAAAGTATGGTGTCAGAAGACTGAGTACTTTGTCAAATTTGACATGTATTCAAAGAAAATTTCTTGCACTTGCTTCCTGGGTTATTGCACTAGGGAATGGGTGATACTGCACCTTGCAGTGGAGCTGAAACATATTTGACAATTCAAATTTTGTCACCCCCACAAATACGGTAGAATGATTTTTGATGACAGGATCTATTTTACTGGCTCTGTGAGAAGCCACCAGAAAAATCTCCCACCTTTACGAAAAAGAAAAGTGTATTGGAAATAATCCAGTTGTCATAAATTAGAACATGTTGACACCGTGAAATTCGTTTATATGAAATGTCTAACACTCATAACAACAATGCAGTCCAAAAAGAAGACAATAGCAGTATGCAAGGATTTGAACAATATAACATTGTACAACTATTTAGTTATCTGTTTCATAAATACAATTCCTTGATGTTCTAAACCTTCAAGGTTATTACGGTTTTCTGTACCTTCCTTCAGAGAAAAGGCTCCAAATACATCTTCGCTACTTTTACATATTTATTAGAATTATTACTGTATTTAAAAATATCATGTAGGTTACGGTGGCATATGAAGGGTGCCATTATCACTCAGATTATGGCCTAACACTCTGAATTATTTAAAGGTTAATTGTAATAGTTTTTATTTTACATTACTTCTGGACTACAAGGAACAAAATATTGTGCTCAATATATATGATATATTTAGAGAAATATGCCATGGATTTAGATTAATTAAAATCAGTATCTGTATTACAAATCTTATTTCCAGAATTACTTACATTCAATTCCTGATATTTTATTCACAGATTACACATATGCTCCACTCTGGTATGAGAAAATCAAAAGTGTCACATCTCATTACTGATAAAGACACATATGAAGCTGTTGTCTGATTCTTACATTGTTTACTGGTTACTGTTTACTATTTGATACTAGTTCTTCACTGAAATGTAATTCTATTTTTAGATTTATATGCTTATGCCACATTCGATCAATTATAGTAATTTTTATCATGTTGTGATATATTGTTAATAACATTTGGTAGAAATCACTTTATGAAAGTCTAAAATTTTTAAATTTACATCAGGGTGAATGTAAATATTAAGCAATTGCTGTTCAAAAGTGTCAGTTCATTTGTTTTTGTAGTTGTTAAATTAATTTGCATGTAGGAAACTAAAGGTATAACAAAATTTTTATAAAATTCTGTTCATAAATCAGTTTTAAAAATTGTTATAGGAGCTCAAATATTTTAGAAATATGGTGACTTGAAGATATAACAACATTTTTAGAAAATTTTAGAAAATCAAACTTCACTTTTCACCCATCTCTCTTAATTTTGTCTCACCTTAGCCTCATTTCTGTTCTGTTACTCTTCATGTGTTATGTTGATATGAATGGATTGCTAAAATTTATTTCATTTGTTACTTCAATTCTATATTATTGACATGTTGTGTGGTATTACTATTTCTGGCTGCTGTAACATTAAGAATAAAAGGAATACTGAAGGCATACATGCAAAGGTTTTTAAGAGAGAGTGAAGGACTCTTTCTTTATTTTCAAATTGAATTATAAAATGTTTATAGCCACTAGAGTGATACTTTGTTGAGAAGTATATTGTGAGCTCCGATAGGGTACAAAATTAATTTAACAGATGAGTAACTTGTAGACGGGTATGAAGTAATTATAAATAACAGATATTTTTGTCTATTTTCCAGCAAGCATTCCAAACACGTCTAACAACTTCAACAATGAGTCTACTAAATGAAGTAAAGCAACAACAATGTGGAAGGTATAAATTAACTTCAAATGTTCTCAAAATGAAAGGGTTAAAAACATCAACTATATCCAAGAACTCATTCTGAGACTTACGTTTGTTCAGGTCATCATTAGATCCTCCAGCAGCCATCTCTCTATGATAGTTATTTTGCAGTGCTATACTGAGGCAATTACTTACATCATAAATAAAAGTTGTGACCAAGTACATATCAATTTCTTAAGTTAACAACTATGAGTAAAAACAGCTGAAACTCCACTGCATGATAGTGGAACCAGTTTGTGTAGCTTTATCCCAAACTTGTTTATTTATTCATCAATGAATATTTATGATACACAGAAACAACCTGTTCTTATTTCTTGACAATTCTAAGTCACCTGATTTCAATGTTTGAAATTAAATTTTCTTATAAATATTTTCAGAAAAGGGCAAATACTTTGCAAGACCTGTGCAATAATAAGTATACATGAGTATTAATATAGACTTCAAGAGTATGTATCTCGATGGGAATCCAACAAGTTTTCAGCATTAAAGTAATGTTAATATATGCCCTCACATTCAGTGCACAAATTCAGTAATAGAGCCTTTAATTTTACATATTTCAGAGGATGAATCACTGTTATTATTTAAATTATATATTTGTAAATTATTATTTACATTACAGTTGTCACATTGTTCGAGGTGTGTACAAAATTGACTTCTCGAACACCATTACTGCAGTTCGAATCCCTTTTGGGAAATTGAAAAAAGCACATGTTCCTCTGTTGTCTTTCGTTATCCTGTGTTGACAGGAGCCCGGTAAAACTTGTAGAATCTTTAGAAGTTCGTTATAATAACAAATCTGAGAAACTTATCCATGGAAGCTCAAGAAAAAGGAAGAGATTTTCCTTTAATTTGCACTAGTTGTTTTATACCATTTGTGCTTACAGTTCCTACTTCTGAAGAAATACTGGCCACATTCCAAAGCTCTTTGCCAGACCATCTATCAATGTGCTTTCAGTCATGGCCACCAGAATGAGAAAATTATGTAATTCAAAAAGTAGAATGATTAGTTTTCACAATAATGAATGAAGCCTCTTGGTTAAGTGAGAAGAAAATTATAAACTGCTGGTAATGTGGCTCATATTTGAATATGGGTTGCTGTTGAGCCATAATTACTGGACAATTCAACATAAAAAATCTTCCGTTATTTGTACTTTTGAAAGGACAAAGTCTGTTTGTGTTTTATTTTCTTACAGCCAATACAGTTGTGTTTTTCTTATGCAACTTCCAATATACTGAAGACAGGAATAGTTTTATGACACAATTTGCTATTTTATTAATTATTTTTATGTATATTTCGGTAGGTCTTTTGTCTTATGTGCTTCGGGTTCATGTTTATATTTGTAAGCGGGCAGATGTGAATTGTAAATAATCCAAATGACTGAAAAACGATAATTTATTTTTGTAACTGTGTAATACTTTTTATATTTTATTTGCAGTGGTGTAATGAAAAATTGAAAGTGTTCAGAATATTTTAATTCTTTATTATGAATTTTTAATGTTAGGTCACAACACAGTGCTATGCTGCATTTTGTGTTTATATCCAGCAGTCAGCATGCAAAAATTTTCACCCTGCAAAAGAAAAAAGTAATATCATGAATCATTCCTTATTGCTGTATTCATATTAATTATTCCTCTTCGTGGGTATCATCATATGTAATTTTTAAGTATATAAAAATACTCATTCCGCCTTTATCTTTCAGTACTGGTGGTATAGTAATTTGTGTTTGAAATCTAATCCACAAGTCTAATTGCATTGACTGGATTCTTTAAAATCTAATACTCATATTATTTGCTTAGTAACAATTAGACAAACAGAGAGTATGAGAAAGGACTTAAATGTAGGTAGAGAAAATGATGGTTACAGGGTGAACTGAATTGAACCCCTTAGAATAGGGGTGTAAAAAGTATTGGTNTTTTTTTTTTTTTTTTTTGTGAATATGGTCATGTTCCATAAAAGACAAGGAATATTTTGACTGATGGAACACTATTGGCTCCTCAAACAAGAATTTGCATCATTGACTGCATTAATTATTTATCTGAGGGTTCTTGCAAATAAAATACATTTATTGTATTAAAATATTTACACATATTTACATACTTAGTTAATGGATTTTGTTTGGTAGTATATCTTGTGGTTTGAGTCTTGAAGTGAATAATTTCCATTACCACTAGCCCGGAAACATCCACAAGAGTATATAATATTGTGATTATATGTTACAGGGGACAAAGAACACACTCTACCTCTTCTGCTACAGAAACTACTTCTCCAGACATGGGGAAACGTAGGTAAGTGCTTGGAGTGTGATATCACGGGGTAACATCTTGCAATGTAAATAGTATATTCCAAATGCTTCCTCACAGTTACTTTATACAGATAATTATATGTGAATTTAAAAACTGAATTATTATTGTTCACCCTATAGTGATATTTATACTGTGCCTGTAGCACGGTAACAGAATTTTTTTGATATGAACTAAATTAATACCAGGCATTAATTCTAAATTGTACAAAGCACTGAGAATGAAAGTTAGGATTCTATTATTTAAATCAATTTAATAGCAGCTTCCTAACTTATCTCTCTCTCTGCAAAAGTAATTTACTAATATAATTCATAAATTGAAAGATAGACTGCTAATTTGACTCCATAACAGTCATTAATATCATGAAAGGAATAAAATATACGTTTTTTTGTGGGTAACATTAAATTATCTCTCAACTTCTTAATTTATTTGACGTTCTTCAAGACAAAACCAACAAATTTTAATGGGACTCATAATATTCACAATGTTGGCTCAATATACATACATGAACAATCTAAGAGAATTACATTTTCAGCAATTTCTTTTCCCTTTGTGTCTAAATTATATAAGTTACCCAGAAATCTTCATATGCGTTGTACACAGAAATGTGTTTGTTACAATGAAAACTCTGGGTAAATCCCTGTTATTAAAAATTTAATATCTTTACCCTGAGTCTCAAATAGAATCTTTCATTTTGGTAAATGAAATGAATGCATCAAAATGTGTAATTTTCACTGAGTTCTGACAGTATATTAGTGCTAATGAAGATATGGTACCTAGCACTCTGCTTTGTCTTTTGCTGAAGCATGCTTGTATGTAAATTTGATGCACTGTACATTTATTGTTGTCCATACATGTGAAGTCACAAAGTCCTGGGCCACTTTATAACCACATTTAAAACAGTCCTGTCACATTATCTTGCAGATGAATGTTAATAAGTTCAAGTCTGTTACTGAATTTGGAAGTCAGGATAATCTGCCACTGACGATGCAGATGTCTCTTTCAAAACCATGAACAGTCCTGTCAACTTCGCACATCTGCTGTTTGATATAACTAGAATCACTTTAAATTATTTTCGGATATTTGAATGGACTTTCTAACTCATTTCCTGGCAGCAATATGATACTTGATTGCTGTGAGGATAAACTACTTTTACTCATTAAAATAACGATATATAACTACAATTCTGCAATGAACAGTATGTAGATAATTATCCACGTTCATGAGAAATCTGCAGGATTTTACCTTGAATTAAAGTGATTTAGATAGCAATGTGAGATCTTGTCTATGAGTAAATTTATTTTACAAAATAATATTTCCTAATTTTAGCTTAATAATTAATTGTCGTCATGAGTTCTGTAGCAAAATTTATTTTAAATGGAAATGACTGGCCATAACAAATTTATTATGAGTTATTTACACAGTTTCCAGTCAACCTGTTCACAGTTCAGTACAGCCAGATTCTAGGGATATCTGCAAATTGATGTTTTGTACATAATTGTTTGTATTTTAAATAGCAGACTGAATCACTTATTCCAAATTCTGCTGCAATTCTCTTATAAGAAAGTAAGTGGTACTTGAAAGTGGTCCAAGGCTAGTCTACCTATGTGTCTACATCATCAATATTTCAAAAGTGGAATCTTTTATAAATACAACCAATACAGTGATCGGTTGTTGAATATCTTCTTTCCAGATTCAGCCCAGATTCATCTAGCCTCCAGGTAGACTACATTTGCTCTAGTAGCTTGAATGGAAGTTGTCAAGTAGAACCTCACAATCTAGAGGAGAGGAAAATAAGAAACTTTCGCTACTTTTGTGAAACTGAAGTGTGAAATTGGATATACATATACAGTAATTATATTCATATAATATGCTTTTAAATAGAAGTTCCAAATTAATAAAGTGATTTTAAGTTTCTGCTCATTCAGCATGTACCTACTGACAACTATTTTCAGTGTCTGAAAACTCAAACAGTAATCAAGTGATCTAATGTACCAATGTTGACTGCAGTTAAATTGTGCTTCACATGAAGAGATAGGAAAAATGTGTTCATATTTTTAGTGTAGATTTTGTCTAAAAGTCACAATAATATTAAACAAATTTCCAAAGTTGTCAGACATAACTGATTTTTTAAACATTTGCACTAGAAGAAAAAGTGGTTAATTTGGAAATTTATTATTGGACCATAACCGAATCTGTCAAGCAAATAATTGGTTTCTACATTCTTGTTATTTTATGGGCACAGAATTCACAAATTAGTAATTCTTACATATTTTATAAAAAATGTGAATGTCTATATTCAATATTTATTTGCATTTGTATATTGTTGGAATGTGTGCAATGTTTACATGCTGATTTGTACTCTACATTAACACCGCACCTTGTATCATACATACAAAATAATAAATTTCAAAGCAAAACCCTACTTTGTGTCCCTTGCTTTTTGACTGCACTGCTTATGTTGTTAATATAAGCTTCATTCTACCTGCTTCTGAGAAGTACTGTAATTGGTTAACTGTGTGTTTCTTATTATGTTTCATGTGCATGTCTTTTTTTCTCCTTCTCTTTGCATCATGCAGACACTATACTGAAGACTATGCTGTATGTCTTAAGGTAAACACCAATATATTCCTTCTATCTTCACATGCACGCCCTATTTCATTTAGTAATTTCAAAATTTACCTGGTAAAAGATGTTGCATTGTTCTGTGAGCATACAAATATCTCTGGACTTGGGGAAAATTAAACCCTGATATTTTCTCAAATTTATATTATTTGTTCTTTTTTTGTCTGAGTTATTTGCCGAGGGTTCTCCTATCCATAATAATGCATGATTCACCATCTTTAGAGGCATCTTTTGTCCATTTTTTCCCCTTAAGTTTTTATATGCAAGTGAGATGCTTAGAAATCTATTTGAGAGAATAAATAATATAAATAGACTGCATATCTTTTTTCTTATTAGTTTTATTTTATTTTATAATAAATTGTTGCTGAATATGGCTCCTTCATGAGAATTGCTACGTTTGTATGCAGCAATTCCAGAGAAAACTATATTAGAAGCACATTAGTTTTCATAATGCATGATTATCAGTACACACAAGATGAGCAGATACGTGCTTTGGAAGAACACTCATATTCTTAGTAACTGAATTAATCTTCAGGGCCCTTGTGAATTCCACCCTCAGAGTAATTTTGTGTTTTTATTACTCTTTATGTCTTTTGACTTGGACCAAGAGACATTATTAATTATTTCTTATTCACAGGTAAAAGTAACCGAGTAACAAAATATTTATAACATTTCACATATATTATTTCTACCTTTCTTCCTAAAATCTGTTTCCCCCTGTTTAAGGAAACACATTTTATTAACACAAATAAGTAATATAATAACAGAAGTTATTCCATTTTAAATTAATGCTATTAAAATTAATAGAAATTTTTAATTTTTTACCAAGTTCTGTACATATTTATTCATATCACTTCTTAACAGCTCACATTCTTTCGAACTGTGCAGTGATGTGATGTTTAGTACTTTTATCTGAGGAGTATATTTTGTTTATCTTTTAGTCCTGTACTCCTCTTGTCACTGAAGTGCTGTGTGTATGTTCATTGTGCTAGGATAACATTTAAAATGGACCTTCCACACAAATAAAAGTTGAATGTTAAAAATGCTGATTCCTAATTATAACATAGAGATTACATTTATTTCTTGATGCATTTTATTGTATTAATATTGTGGGTGTATAAGCATGACTTTGTGCATATGTTAAAAATACCTTTTTCTTAAGCATTTTGTCTGAGGCTGTTGAAGTCATTTTGATGTCTGCAATTGTCCATTGGAAGCAGTGTGTGTAAATTTAAAATTGATTTCTTACCTGCTGGTTTGAGACTTTCCAGAAGTAATTCTGTCTGAAACTTAAACATTATCAACACTGAAATCTGATAGAGTTTAATATAGAAGATCTTGAAAAAATTTTCTATCCTTACACCATATAACCCATAACTGGACATCATTAATACTTAGAGTTTTCTGAGAATATGGTGCAGAATATAATTACTTATCCAGTGAAATTTCAGAGCAATGTAATATCTGCAAGTGAAAGTGAAGGTAATACAAATTTTAGCACTTAATACTGCAAGGAGCTAAATCTGCCTAATTAGGAAACTGTGTAAAATAAAATGAAGACTTGAATAATCTAGGAAACAAAACTCTTCTCATGTTATTTTCTAAATGCAAGTCGCCTTCCTTGTATATTTTCTTTTAATATCTTACGACGTAGCCTGTCCTAAGAATGTGTCTCATTTACAGTTCACATGCTAAATGAACACTATTTTAACGAAGTTATGCCCATATATGGAACCTTTACTTAAAAATAATTTAGGGTTTGTATTTGTTTGTCTAACATTAAAGATATTTCGAATATACTTTTGTGTTTATTTACTACGTACATTCACAGTTTAATGAAGAGAGCGTAAAAACTTAATTCAGAATCATCCTTTTTATTTAAAATTATAGCTGTCTGTAATTTAAATTCTGTACATTCTTTCACAAAATGTTGACTCATTAGACTATTAAAAGAAATTAATATTGTAATATGCCAGCTTAAAAGTATTTAATTATTAGGAGATGTAATTAACTCTTTATGCAATATGCTGCTTTCAAGGTATTCGCTTTATAGACGCCTATAATTATATTTTGTTACCACTATTTGTAATTTTCTTTTATTTATATTATATGTTAGCTTTTGCATTTGGGTTTGATTCGATGGATTCTCTTCGGTTATGACGTCCGTATAGAAATACATTCCTTTGTCAACTCAAATCATTCTTCCAAGTTAGGTTCCACGTAATCTTACAATTGTCGCTGTTTACCGTGGTAATACAGCTATCCTACGACAGTGCAATATAATACACGTACTATTCAGCGACATTCTCTGCTAACCTGAACACGTTGACAAAATCAATTCAGCACAGGATTAGATTTTTGAGACTGAACATACTGTTAAGTCTACTTAAAGTAAATTTACTGGAAAGGACTAAGTGTACCGTCATTGAAGACTGTCTTATTCGCTACAGAAATAGCTGCAGCGGAGATGATGATGACGCTGGAGGCAGTAGTGGCGCCTGGCGTCGGGACGAGGACTCAACAGAAGTTCAAGGCACCGAATGTGAACCCTCTTCAATTAAGGTAGGGCATTTATTTTGTCATATGCGGTGGCCAGGGATTATTTTTGGTTCAATATGATTATCTTGAAACTGTAAGGGAAAAGGTAACATATACCTATGTTGGAAAGATGATTAATCAGGGGTTAAGTGACACAGAAGAAGACGCGTTCGTTCCCAGTCGCACGCTATATTTCCGAAATTCGTCGGATAAAGATGAAGGTGCTTCAGTAAGAAAATATCCTATACAAATATTATACATATTGTTTTATGTATACGTAATATGTACCGTGTTCCTGGAATTGGCTCTACTTACTTCTTCAGGTCAAAGGTTTTCGTGGTTCAGATTTACCATTTCTTCTAAAATTTTGACTTAATTTCTCTTATAGTGGTTGGTATACTGTCTCGTAGACTTAGTCGTGTTTTTTTGGATTCCGCTTTTGCGGTAGAATGTGGAAGGGAACACTGTGGCTTATTTTACAACACAACATCTATCCGAAATTTCCAGAGGGTACTGAACATAATCACTGAAGTCATCAGCACGATCTCTCTCCGAATCCATAATCTAACCTGGAACCTCCTGAATAAGGAAAGAGGGTGACCTCATCTACGATTTAAGGTTCTCACAGTAACGGTTCTCTAACTTCGTCTAGGTCGCCGAAAGTCAATGGGTTTCGGACTAACATGTTGGCTTCTCCTTCAGGGTTCCAGAAAAGGCAAGGAAGCTCTGCTGCATGCTTCTTGCTGGTTTCCTTGCCAAGCTTACTCTTGAATTCTGAGGATGGAGGCGTTATGTTCCTCCGAAACGTCGGTTTGCTTTCAACCGACAACAAGATGCTATATTCTGGAATGTAGAACTCATTATAACCACCGCTGAGGGAGCCTTACACCATACATAACGTCATCATCATCATCTTGATAAGCTAAGTTTTTCATGATGAGTTTTACACCGCTGGATTTTTTACACGACTCCAAATTTCGCCGTGCCTAAAACAGCAGTGATGCATTTGAAAAGGATTTAGCTTAAGAAAAAGTTCGTTTGTTCTTTCAGTTATTATTCTAATGGCTCCGCTCTGACTGTGCTTTGAAGGTCGTTATGCGAAATCTGGAAAAGTAATTAGAAAGCAGAGAAGTTGGAAATGTTTCTTTTCCAGAAGATCTGCGGTAGTTACTTCATGACCGCTAACATTAAATGATGTATTCTGTATCTTCTTATTATTATTATTATTATTATTAGAGGGGGTGGGTTTCCCCATGCACTTAGACGAGTTATTGGTCCATTGTGCGTTCCCCTTTAATTTCTACTTTCCCCATACCCTACCGGTACCCATCTACCAGAGGCGTTGGAAACTACTTGGGCGGGAAATTGTTGCCTAATTTTGCTCAGAGGTCTCCTAGAGCCATGAGGATCTTTTACGTGCCGTAAATCTACGACACGGGACTCACGGCTTAAAGTCCCTACCGGAGGACTTGTTCCCTGAATATTTCCGCCCTTAAAAATTCCACAACCTACGCCGGGTTTGAACCCGCGTACCTTGAGTCATGAGGTGGGAACGTTACCCCTAGACTACGGAGGCCGCTGTTTTGTAGCTTCCGAAACGGGCTCTCAATAGACCATAGCCCTGAGTGTAAATGTCTTCCCCAGAGGAGACACTCTGTTATTAAAATAGATTGCCTTCTGGGAATGAGGTTGAATATAATGCATTAAAATCGAAGGTGTCGGAGAGAATTGACTCAGGCTGCGAGCGGTATTTCGTAATTAGTTTACGGATGATTAGTTCCTGTCAGGTGTACTCAGTGCGCATTGGGTGCCTGAAAATGAGGGTTAATTCAAGATACTGACGAACTTTCAGCAATTACAATACAGAAAGCGGGATTGGAGGGGGCATTTGGGTATTGATTACCATGCGCAAGGAAAGGCAGAACATCAGTGGGAAGAGAGCGAGAAGGCAACGTGTGTCGTTAAGCATGTACTTATATATTTTATATTTAGGAAGAAAAGTCAGAGGAAATTTCATTGGGCCAGGCAGCATATCAGGTTTAAGTAGTNCATATTTATACAATATTAGCTTTACCCGGAGTAATATCCGTCTTTCTGACAAATCTTGTAATTTTTTTAAAGAAACATCAATACATTTTATTTATTGATCCATACTATATTTAATATTTAATTTAATGTTTTGTATTCCTTTATGTAAATCAGCAAGTGGTTTAAATTATCACTAAATCCTGTCCAACCGTTTTATTTTTGGCCGTGAACTCATGACCTGGTTGGTTTTCAAGTCGTTTTCTTGTTGCTTAAGCAGAATGGGAAAAAATTATCTGACCGTACCCTGGCTTATTTGCCCCGTTTGGACATAGCGGGTGAAGAAAAATGGTAAGTGTGGCCGTGCATCCAAAAGCAATATGGACCATTTCGAGATTTTGCTTTAATCTCCGCACCCACTGATATGAACACCACTGCTGACTTGTACCCTGTGCATGTTCTGTGTACTTATTTACTTCATTTGTATCCCCCGCTAAGGAGCTTTCTTAATTGAGCCGTCAAGTGATGCCTCTAGAGGCGTTCCTGCTAAGTCCCTGCAACTGGCTAGGGGCAGAAACATACCTGAGAGTTTTATGTACATATTATGACATCTCCGTTCAAAGCCAGAATTGCAGAACCAGAGAAGGCATCCGTTGCTAGGTAATGGCTTTGTAAACACGTTTCCATGGTTACTAAATAACGTGATCGCAGCAACAGATACACGTCCAACAATGGGGGAACTGGTGGAGACGGTGTTGTCTCTTGGCTCCATGTCGAGACTATATACAGAGAACCGAAATCGGATGTCAGACGAGAGAGACGAGTTTTGCGTCGGAAGGGAGTGCTAGCCAGCGATAGTGAATGTAGCCAGTGGTGTCCACACGCGGTTAGGAGTCTATGGCCAATAGTTGCGACCATGAGGAGCTATAAGATAGCCGGTGTCTGATAAGGACATGGATATGGAAGCTGAGGAATCTACGACGTTATGAGCCGTTACCAAGCAACGACTGGTTAAGACACATCAGACTGAGAAGTCTTAGTGCGTACTGTAGAAAATTACAGAGTTTGTGATAATAAATCCAGTTACCAGTCCAAACCCCGTGTCTACTCATTAAATACATGGAAATATTTTTGGTATAAGCTAACTCAATGGATAAGATTCCTTGAGAAGCTTAGGTGGTCAATAAATAAAGGAGAAGTATCCCGTCCGCATCTCCACAAATTGTTTCTTTATGAACAAGTTTAGTCGTATCCTCCCATCTAGGCCTATGTCTATCAACTTACCTCAGCCGAATAGTGTGGTCTACAGAACAGTCCAGGTGCCGCTCGATTCGAACCTCGGTCGGGACATCAGCTGTCTTGGCTTAGATATTCCGTGGCTCCGAGTCCCTCCTTATTACCTCTGGGGTAATTGCTGGATTAGGCTGCTGCCTCATCTTTCTGAATCCCTTCCAAATAACCAGTTATCAATCATTCTTCTATCTGATTCTATACAGTTTAAATACAAAGAACATCATTACATAACCCACCAGAAAGAGAAGAGAGTCTCTACTCTTACGGCTTTTCGACTACAGCTTTGTATAGATTTCCTACTCCTCTGGTACTTCTTTCTCCGTCTATTTCTTATCATCCTCTTTAATTTGACCATTCTAATGATATCTGGTGGTAGTTTTCTCCAACCTCTTGCCACTTCCTTCTTCTTAGGACCAAATATTCCCAGCATCCTCTTCAAAATGCACGTGATGTGACTCCTTCCTTGATGTAAGAGACCAAGTGTCATATACATACGAAACAATAAATAAAATTAAAGTTTTGTGTATTTTAATATTTACGTTTCCAGATTGCAAAGAGAAAGGCGAAAGTTTCTTAACTTAATTGTGACAAACATGCCTGGAATTTACTCTGTTCTAAGTTTTGTCATGAAGGTCAGTTTTATTTATTAATGTCGTTCCTAAATATTTTTAACTTTGGTTAGATGACTTTATGCTGTGAAGTTACATTGGATACTTGTCTCATTTAATCGGTAATTTTCAAATGGTTTGTGGTGTTAGGAATGGATTTCAATAACTTTGTGATATTAGAAAATCTATGACTAAGAATTCAATATTTCTTATCTTTTTTTGTGTCCTAATCTGAGCTGTACTGAATTAAGGCAATTTTCAGAAATTTTGTGGCTGCAATGTTGGTATTAGTGAGGCAGGGAGTAGGGAATCATGATATATACCGTTGATATTCCTTCAAATGCCATGATGTTCTTATCAGGTTTCATGAAGGTCGGTACAGGCGTTCAAGCAATATTAAGGTCTTGCCTCAGCAATTAGGATGGCTGTCATATTGGCATTATTAATGGAAGGTATTTACAAAGTGTGTCATTGGAATGGTCTCAGGTGTTGAATTACGATCGGTTCAGACATTTAAGTAACATTACGGTTATTATCGTAATAATTTCAGAGGCTACAGAACAAAGAGACTTATAGATTATGCACTTGAGATGGCTTCATGTGGTACGATATACGTACCAAGTTTCATAAAGAGTGATGCAGGGTTTAAAGCAATATTAAGATTTGGCTCAGAAATCTGAGAGGCTATAATTATGGTATTACTGAAGGAGGGATTTATGAATTACATCGTTGAGATGAGGTCAGGTGTCATGAAATAGATACCAAGTTCCGTAAAGATTGGTTTAGGCATTCAGAAGATAACAGGGGAGGATTCACATATACACGTACTATGTAGAAACATAGACTGCAAGATGATCTCATAAGTCTACTTTTATTTTTCAAAATAAGGAATGTAAACTAAAATAACAATAAATTAAAGAGTAATAATTATTAATATAATTTTCATTTCATGCATCCTGTTGTGTTATAATATACAATTTCTCTATTAAAACCGTCACAACACAACTATATCAAGATCAGTGCCAAGTTTGGCTCTGCTACATGTTTCGGCTATTAATAGCCATCATCAGGCAAATGCACGGTTAACGTATATACACCACTAAACCGCAGTACTAGTAAAATTGGATACAATAATATTAATTACATAAAATACTTGACGTAAAAACACAATAAATTAGATTATATAAAACAAAAGTTATAGTATAAGACAAGAATAAAATTCTTCGATTGATGCTTTACATCATCGAGTCAGTCGTTGGATTTTGTGATTTTGTTGTTTTCCCACGGACAAATTGGAGTATTCTATATTTTTTATGTATATAAAAATGTATTGGAGGCTCATGACGTAGATGTAGTAATATTAACGTTAATTATTTAGTCGATACCTCATCTTACAAAGTACTGTCCGTTCTGTAGGGAATGTAAACAATAATAATGATTTCCGTAGTTCCTGTACTACGAGTGAAGTCCTTTTGAAGAGCGAGAAACATATAAGAAGGAAGTTCTGATAAGACCGCGCCAGCTGACAAAGCGGCTGCATAGAACTAACGCTCTTCCTTTGTTCTGCAGCAGAATGATGAGACAAAGATAATTTTGTTTTGCCCGCAGCCCGACGTGTGGTGGTTGTCTGCCCCTCAGGAGCACCGCGACCTCAGTCTGCACCTTCAGGACGACAGCCCTGTATCCATGGAAACAAGATGTCTCCTCAGGTAGCTGCTGAAACAAGAGCGTCCTACATCTCTTTTAAACCGAGCCACACATTTCGTTATTCTTTATACTACATGTTAAATTTGACGCTCGTAAAGTTGAATGTATAAATAGTTGAAGTACTACTGTATATCTCTAGTGGTAATTTCTCCCTAGATACATATATTACGTGGTAGAGTCATTAAGTTCGTGGAATGTGGTTTTATTGCTTCATAATACAAGGTATTCACATACACTTACCCAGATCCACATCGGCCCTCAAAATAGTTGCCATTGGCCGTTATGCAAGTCTGCCAACGTTGATATAGCTGCCGAAAACATTGCTGAAACATATTGGCAGGAAATTCCCGTACGAGCGCTTTGTGGCCATTCCACGAACTTATTGACTGTGGTAGTATTACGTGTATTTTCAACAGAATAGCCACACCATGTCACCGATTGAGTATAACAAGGGAATATGGAATTGAAAATATGACCATTTACTCATGTCATTATGCATTCGTCCCCCATGTACTTAATTGAGCTGTAGTGAAATGTATGATCACGGTATAAATTGGCTTATTCTTTGCATTTCCACTGAGATAGCATAACAGTTGTTACCTGGTAGTGGCGACAATCTTCGGACTAAAAAGGAGTTCACGGAAAGTGAGTGAAATTCTTCAACTTGATATGCAGAGAAAATTATTATAATTTCTATGACCGAGTTGTTGTGACTGATTTGTAGTCGATAGAAATAGAGTGAATCATCTTAAACTGATATTGAAAACTGCCACTATAAACACATATGAGATGTTGTCTCTAAGATATTTGAAACCAATAACAAATATTAGAGGATCTACTTACGTCCAGTAGCACACAAATATTTCGCACTCTCTGTATATTCTGGTCCTTAATGCAATGTATTGCATTTGTTTCTTTTCAGAATAAATTGAAAATTACGGAGAGTTGACTCGTGAATAAGCAGAGATTTCAAAATATAAAATAAGAAACTGCGTAATACCAGTCCCACACAGAGCTTCGATCATAATCAGTTTCCATGACAAAGGAATGAAATGAACATAGATTACAGTAAAGCCCGAATAAAAAGTAATATGTAATAATAATCATTGTTTGCGGGTACTTGCCAACAGCATATACAAATAAAATATATTCTCCTGAGAAACCACATCCCTATAAAAAACAAATGAACTGGCATATACTATTAGGGTCGTTGGCATATCTTGCTGAAGACTGGACTTACAGTATTGCTTACAGTAAACATGGAAAAGTTCCGAATTAATTCAGTGGTTATACAAAGGCTGAGAGTGTCCATGCGAGAGTGACCTTTTCCCCCTTTAAAAGCATTATAAAGAAATAGATCACCAAGATTTGAATGTTCTTAACTTTAAACATTCTAAAAACAAATCACAGTTGCAAGATAAATGAAACTAATAAACATAAATTCGAGAGTTCCTTTTTTATATTTTTCAGTTTACTGGAATGTGCCATTATAATATTATTCCAAGAGACCAAGGCATACCCGAGCTCTGACCTAATTAAAGTAACATATAAAACCCTACAGCTTTCAAAGAATAAAAATTTCCAGTTATGAAGCAAACGAGCCCAAGAAGATTTAGCGTCTCAGAAGATGTGCAATTACGAGTAATGAGTTGATGTAAACGCAGTTTACTGTTCAACCAGTTTAATGTATAACATAACAACAAGATCTTTCACACAGTCGGCATTAGAAACTAAAACTTCATTATTGTGGTAGTTAGAATGGATAGTGTTACTGTTACGAAAACAGGAAATTACGATAATTCTCTAAATGCTGAAGTCCAAATAATATTTAAACATCATATTTGTATAGCATTAAATCCGTCTGTAAACTGCAGTCTTGTACTGGCTTTACTGATAGATACATATTCAAATCATCAGCAAATTATAAAAATTGAACTGATAAATTTTGTCATATATGTCATCGATAAAAATATTAAGCAAAAGACCCAAGGTGGAGCCCTAGATAATATGTAACTATGAAATCAAGTAATATATCATTAGGAGAGTCTGGAAATGTTCAGTTTATTTGACAATAAATTGTGCAAAACTTTATTATGTGCTTGAATGAAATTAAATTAATTTGAATTACTTTTTTTTTGCGTGCTTAATCAATAGCCGAAAGGCCAATTATAAAGCAAGAACGATAAAAAAAACAAAACAAAAAACAAACAGAGGCAAAACAAGATAACTTATATTATTCAGACAATTATAATAATTCAAATTTTGAATCACGGCAACATATGCGGCGAGAATATATATATACATATTGAAGAGATAATAATAGTAAATAATTAATTCAGTTCCAATTCATTAATGACGTGCTTGACAAGCGTTGAAAGATAATTACAGCCAAGCACTGAAGAAATAATAATATAGCATAACTTTATTTAACAATAAATTTTTCATAGGTTTGCTCGCAGGAATGAGGTGGAAGAACGTCCCTTATATTCCTCGATATGGTACAACATACGTTTGTGATACTGTAAGTGAGTAAGGAAAGTGCAAAGTGCCCTGTAAGAGCTTCTTACCGTTAGGCGGAACGAGTGAATGTGCTAATTTCTGCGATGCCAAGCCGCGTTTTCATGTCCTTCCTTGAACTGGAAATATTACGTATAAAATATCTCGGTGCATTCTTTTCCTCTCCTTTTGATTCACAACTCAAATAGGACCTCTACTTGTCATTGCCAGACAGTCTCAACCGGTTACATAATGAAACATTCATTACACAAAGAACGTCACTGTTAAATATTTACGCTCCACTTTCGCGGTATCATGATCGATAAGAAATTAACAAGAATGTAAATAAAACGACTTAAGGTTCGGCCGCACAGAGAGCTACGTACGCTATGTTTGCTATACGAACAGAAAAAATCTCCCTTTATTGCCAATGTGACTGGCCACACAGACTTCCGTACGCTACGTACGCTATGTTCCCTATGTTAGAGTGTACACAGCCTACGTAGCGTACGTAGCGAACATAGCGTAGCGCTCTGTGTGGCCGAACCTTTACAGTTTATAGAGAACCGCCTTCAACAAGGAAGCAGTTTCTGCTCTGCACGTTATATGCTTGTGAAGCTTGTCTGATTTCTATGGCTTCTTTTACGATGTTGTTAGTATTTTCGCTTAGTGGGGATGTAGTCCAACTGGGTCCACTCGGCACGGCAGCCACTGATTAGCCTATTGTACCTGCCCTGGGTGATTATGATGATGGAGAATTTGGTGGAATGAAGATTGGCAGGGGAAACCGAAGTATTCGAAGAAAACCCGCCACAGCGCCACTTTGTCCACCAGAAATCCCACTTGACCAGACCCGGGATCGAAACCGGGCCAACGCGGTGGGAAGCCAGCGACTAACCGCTTGAGCTATGGCGCGGCCATGTTGTTAGTATGTAGATTACACAGAATCGGATGGGGGATGAATGATCGGCAATAAATTGAAAATTATTCGGAAGTAAACAGTTCTGGTGCAATTGAGGGAGTATCCAAGAATTTGTCTGGAGCGACTGAAGAAAATCGCGAAATATATTGTTCGGGTCAGCTGGTGTTCCAGCATAGAATCGATCTGACATCTTCCTGAATTGAAATCTATGGCGAACACCAACCCACTCGCCGTGGAGCGTGTGATCGAGTTGAGTATGGTAGACATTTGACTAATGGCGGAAACTTATTCCGAGGAAGGACATGGGCCTCCAGTTTTGGCCTGTTTCTACCGGAGAACTTATTTACAAACAGTCAAGAAGATTCGTTTGGTGCCACTGACTGAACTAATGTGTCACAGGACGGGTTAGTAGTTAAAATAGATATGCCTCCATTTATTTGTTCATAATTAGTAAACGCGAATACAGTTTATTTTAGTTTGAAAATATATATAAATATATGCATTTTGTTACAGTGCTGTATGTGTCTGACTTAATGCCGACGCCAGAACACCAACGTGGACTTGAACTGTAGCCATGTGTAGCAAATTAGACAAAACAAGAGTTTCGAATNAACTTTCTTCATGTTACTGTTTCATTAAATAACCCTACTGGTCCAGAAATTATCAAAACTTTTTTGATATTGATATGTAACGAGTCCGGTGGTACCAGTATAATTTTTCTCATGTTGTACTGAAAACTTTCTTAATAGATTTGGAACTAAAAGTTAAAAATATTATTATAATCTATCTATTGTATTATGAAATATTTTGGGCCTGTATATGAGTAAGATGCCGGTCACGGTAGCCGAGCGGTCTAAGGCATGTACTGTCTTCGCTCGCTTGGAAACCGGGATCGTGGGTTTGAATCCCACTCAGTGCATGGATGTTAATTTGTGTGTGTGCGTTTTTCTGTGTTTGTGTATAGGTAGAGGCCTTGCGACGAGCTGATCACCCGCCCAAGGAGCCCTACCAAATGTGTAAGATCTAGAAAAGCCGAAGTGAACGGAGAAGTTCATGGAGGTAGGCCTAGGCCCACTGGGGCTGTAGTGCCAAGGAAAAAAAATATATGAGTAAGATGTCATCCCCTATAACACACATCACAGAAATAACAAAGCTATTGAAACCTAGCTCTATATAAAGTCTCGAAATTCGCCTCTATTTTCAATTATGTTGGAAGTAGCTTGGAGTAATTAGGAGAATTAAATTGTGGTTACTGAAATTTCCGCGAATTTGCTACTGTTTCAGGCGAAAAGCATCTGCTATCTATCTGTATTTTAGTACTCAATTCTGAGTCATTCAGGAAGCTTTAAAATAGCATTAAATTTTATTCTTACCCATTGAACTTCCGTGTATAATGTACATCTTCATATGAGAGTTAGCCTCGGTAATAGTTAATTATTAAAGTACGAGGTAATTTTAAAATTCTTCAATCCTGAAGTGAAGCGCATTTGGAATGTAAATGTTAATCTGTCAATAATGTTACATTTCAGCATCCTGTTGCGCTCTATTAACCTGATTCAGGGATTTTATGCAGTCTAATTGTAACATCGTTCAATATCCTTTCTTCATATAAAGAAGAAAGAATAGTGAAACGACGTTGCACTTAGAGGACACAAAACTCCTAAGTCAAATTTAATATGTCAGTGGTTTAGAACTAAATGCCTGCTTTGTCTACACATCCGACGTATCATACTGTATATCCTATATATTTTGGTATTCCGAAGTTAGCTTCTATAGTTTAATCTTATAAAATTTGTGCATTCATAATTACAGTTCGATTTTGGCTCCATTAATTAGTTTTTTAGCTTATAATTCCATAATTTTAATAGGTACCGAACTTTCAGTTGACACGTGTACTATTCGAAAGGCCCTGGCTATTTTCACCCTCTTTATTACAATGCTTGAATTAAAGCTGTGATAATCTGAATTTTCATGACACATACACTTCCGCACTGACGTCCCGTTCTGTAGGTTCGGTGATGGAGTGAAAAGTGTGTACCGGTGTCATAAAATAATTGTAAACAATAATTTTCTGCCGCATTAAATTTATGGTCTAGCCATTTTTTTCCTTGGCACTACAGCCCCAGTGGGTCTAGGCCTACCTCCATGAACTTCTCCGTTCACTTCGGTGTTTCTACATTTTAAACATTCGGTAGTACTCCTTGGGCGGGTGATCAGCTCGTCGCAAGGCCTCTACCTGTACACAAACACAGAAAAACGCACGCACACAAACTAAACATCCATGCCCTGAGTGGGATTCGAACCCACGATCTCGGTTTCTAAGCGAGCGAAGACAGTACATGCCTTAGACCGCCAATTACGGTATGAATATCAGGACAAATACGATACTACTGGTACTTGGTCGACACTGCAAACTGTAAATTCATTTATTTATGTTTCTTGTTTCCATCAGAGAAATGCATACACACATAAATCCTCATGTACACACTCACCTCACTCAGTTAATGTTGGCACACGTGTATCAAAATATACTCGTATTAGGCCCACACAGGGGAAGTTTCATGTACAAAAATAAGCTGTTTGTGACTGGCGGATTGTCGGTTTTCGTAACAAGAAGATTTTCATTGTATTGAGTAATATTACGCCCATATTATAAAATGTTTCCTATCAAATAGTAAACAAGTCAATACTCTCTAGAAGTGGAACAGAATCTTAAAATGTGCGTATGCATTTAATCGTCGCCGAAGATGCATTCGCTTTACATCAAATTACATTTTATTTCGTACATAAAAATTAACATTTGATAACCTCTTTTGTCTAATTCTAGTATCTATATGTTTTTATTCTACCGTTTGGCAATCCTTTCAGGCTTTCATAGTAATTTTTATGACCAATAATTATAATTCATATTTTAAAGGAATATGGTACTATTTCTTAATAACACCAATAATAAAATGAACTATGCGAATACTTGGCCTCATTCAACGAAAGTCGTTTCTCCCCTTGTCTAGTGTTTTAAAAGGGAGGTCATATTTTCTTTGGTTCTGACGTTTCTTCCGTTAGTACCTCTTTGACTCGTGTGCTTCCTTCACCTCGACAGGGAGAAGCAAGTCTTTAGTTCAGTGAGTAGTTACCTAGTCTACGCACTGTAACGGGGTCGCGTTTGTGAGTGTGCTAGTGGTTTCAGTGTTAGTTTCCAGTTCAGATAAAATTGATGTTGTTTTAAAGACTGAATTTATTATCAAACCTTCAGATTCATTTCCTAAATGTGCTTTAATTTGGTAACATATGTTAATCGTTGAACAAAGCATGATTGCAAAAATTAAGTGTACGTATGTGTAGGGATATATTTACGGTTATGGTTACAGAAGTGGTTGCTGAGCGAAACATGGAATAGGGTTCAAGAAAATGTGGAAAGGAGATGTTACCATGGCAGCCGAATTTTGACAGACTACATTACGTTACTTACGATTTTGAAATTGTACTTTCTTCAGAAAAATACCGCATTCAGTCAGATGTGTTTCATTAATATACGTGATAATTTACAGAGCTTCTGTCGTGTGTAAAATTGTGCTACACTGTTGAACTTCATGATAAAGCTTAAACTTTGGATTTCCAATTTTAATAAGAAGAACGCTTTCAGTAATAATTATCAACTATAAGCGCAGAGAGTATAACAGTTTTTAGTGAATGGGCTGTTAATACTGAGCATGCATCTGCATTTCAACCCATCAGACTGTCAGTGAGTATCGGCTACAACGCCATTCTAAAGATTCTCTTGTAATATTTTACTTTCTGTTACATGTAAACATTCATAAAGATTCAACGTGAATGTATCGCATTGTTGTTTCCAGAAAGGCAAAGTCCACTATATTTAGCCTCGCTTAGTGTTAACAACACGAATGATGTTTCGATTGAACCACCTGAGAAACTGTGATAAGTGCGGAATTTGTACAGCTCTGTCTTTTGGGCTATAAGTCATCTGGTCCGTTGAAAGTTAATCGACATTTACGAGGAATATGTCGCCTCCATATTCAGGGTGAAAGTATAAGTCAAAGCAGAGACCAATGGGAAACAGGTAGCAAGTACTGCTTCATGTTGTTTTCTTGCTTGTCCTAGTCATCGATGCTGAAGATCGAGACGTCATATTCTTCCCAGATGTCGTTTGACTTCAAACTGACTGCAGATGATATCCCAGATGATACAAACCTTAACAACCGCCACTGCAACGCGACAGCCGCGCTGTCTAAGGCATGAAATGCCTTCGCCAACTCAAACATAGGGATCGTGGGTTCGAATCCCACTCGTGACATCTATGTTGTGTTGTCCTGTGTAAGTAAGAGCCTTGCGACGGGTTGATCCCCCTTCCAAGGAATCCTACCGAATGTGTACATGATCAGAGGAACTGATGTGACATGGCTTTTCACGGATGCTCTATGTTCCAGAGAGAGCAACAGGAATTGAACAGCGACCGCGATGAGAGTCTCAAA